CCTTCTTCAAGTAGTAAGACTATAAAAAGTGCTCGAATTATCGGGCATTCCCATATTGAGTTTCCCGCAGAAAGTCTACGTAATTGTATAGAAGATGAAGTGCCGCGGAATAACTGACTGTAAGATACAAGATGAGCGGTGTGGTTTCAGTCAGACTGAATTACATCTGATCAGGTTTATATGTGCTTTGTTGACCTGGAAAAAGCGTATGACCAGATCCCGCGCAGTATAGTGGATCGATGGCCAGTTGGTATGAGTCATCCAATTACTATATATTGATAGCCTGTGCTTCGTCAGAGTAATTGACGTTAAGTCGAGACCTTTCATCGTTAACAGTGGTTTCCGCTAAAAGCTGCATTCTGCGCCGTCTCCTGTTTGTGTTGCGCATAGATGGAATAGTCAGGCGCAGTCAGGGCGATGAGTGTATCAACGTAGGAGATGTCGAGACTGGAGAGTTGCTATTTGCAGACAACCTAGTTTTGTTGGCATCTTCTAAAACTGATCTCTGGCGCTCTTTAGAAAGGCGCCCACTTTGCAGTCACGAGTCGTAGTTCATGACTAAGAAACTTCGATCACTGGTACAAATGACTGAAATGAGCTTTCTGAGAGGAATCGCTCTGCTCACGCGTCTCTACATGATCCGAAATAAAGATTTATGAGTTAACCTTTCTGTATAGTCGCTGCTTCTGATTGAGAAATCAGTCACAGCTACGTTGCTTTGAGCACTTATTGTGAATGCTTTCAGAAAGGAAGGCGAAACAGGTGCTACTTGCTCAACTTACCGGCCGAATACGCCGTATACGGCTAAGAATAATCTGAAGCAAGTGTGTGGAAAGACTCTGCCCCAGATTCAAGTTATCCTCTTCCGGCGTTCAAAGGCGCGAACAGGATCAGGAACGATGGAGACAATCTGGCGTTTCTCTCTCCGCGACCTGGAAAGATAAGTGGACATAGAAACGGACCTTAATATGAAAATTGCTGATAATGTAATTTGCTCCTACTGATTCTCCGACAGGTAGTGTAGTTATTTCCGTCTTCAGCATAGCTTTACCTGGTTTATCCAGCATAATATCCCAGATTTGTATTGTCTGATTTCTTGAAGGGGTGACTCAGATTGTTACTATGTGACGTTCTTGTTGGACAAACGTCGCATCCGTCGTAACAGGCACACCTGCCACTAGCGGGTATTTGCACATTTTGTACTACTTTCCACCGTGTCTGCAATCAATGCGCGACTTTCAGATACGAAAAGTCTTGAATAGAACTTGGGCCGAAGCACTGATGTGATAGTTATGACCGTTTAATCACATTATTGTTTTTCAACACTTGTTCGGTGTTGATCCAGTGGCACCGTCGCACTTGGAGGATTTTTCACAGGCAACTTGGTCAGCATTTCGCTGGACAACTTCATGATGTTTCGCGACAGCAGATGTTTCCAAGTTGTAGGTGAACACCGCGAACAAGACTGGTCTCAAGATGATGATCTTCACCTACATCTGAATTCTTCATATTTCTTGCAAATTCGCTAATGCCATCTAAAGCACTGGTTTATTTTAGGTTCATTGTCGCCATCGTCAACCAAATCTCTTTCAATTCTGTTAAAATGGTCGATCTTTTTTATTGCCTTATTATGCCATAGTATTAAACGGCTCTCGGACATGGTAGGCGTTCTAATAGCTCTTGTCTTCTTGCTACTGACTTGGAGCAACTGCGGAACAACCCGCAATAAAATGTGTCGCAAATTAAATTTCTGTCATCATTTCATGTCTGCTGCCATAGATCGAAATGGAAGGAGGAAATTTTTCAGTGGGCACAGCGTGTAGAAGCGCTTCAAAATCAATTTATTACCTGAATATGGTCGTAAAATGATATTCCCTCTTAGGGAATGAAATGTATAGTTGGATTTTTAACGTTCTTGCAAACGCTGATTAGGATTTGTTGACCTTATGCGTGCCATAATTTGACTGTTGTCTTGATTATCTGTTGTTGATGATGAAGCATTAATTTTATTTCCCTCATGTTCGACTAGTCCAGACATTTCGCTCCACAGCTTATTCATTTTTATGTAGGTTGAATGGCATCTGTAATTCAACCATACTCTCTGTATCATATCTGCCACTCATGCATTGTCCTCCGTTTTGGCTTCAGTTATTCATAAAATTGATCTAGTGTTAGTACTCTTTCAGATGATATCTTTGATCTAGATAATCTGTACCAGATAATCGCTTTATTTTACATATTCTTTAGTGGCTTGAAGAATGTTTACACTTTCAATCCAGCTTTACGTGCAGACAAGTCACGGACTCGAGAACATCTGTCAGAATTCACTATGTTAGAAGTTGAAATGGCTTTCGTTGAAAATCTTCAAATCCTCTTATCGGTATCAGAAATTTCTCTTAATAATATTTATATCATATCCTTTCTATGTGCATAGAGGTTTTTCTCGTAAGTTTGTATGTGAATGCTGTGCTATGCTTTACTGAAATTCTAGAGAACACTCTGCATTGCTGTTCCAGGCAGTATTCATTGCTTTGTCTGCAACTGGTTCTTGTCAATTATATCGTAAATTTGTCAGAGATAGAGTACATAGTGTACACGATCGTACTGATGTGATTCATCGGCAAAGCCGGTGCAAATCAGATTTATTTCGCTGGCGATAGCGCTTAATTGTTGCTGTTTACGCTACCTTATCGTTTATTTGTGATGTGTACTCCACCCTAACTTGTGCTGATGGACACTCCCATATTCACGTGAAGAAATGTATGCTATATGTCGTTTACCAGCCTCATAACATATTCTGAACGAAACAAGACGTTGTTTGGAAAATCTCCGACTACTTAACCAAAACAGCAATATCCTGGTACAACAGCTGGCTGTCAAAAGGCTGATAAGCGGCTATCCTCAGATACATTACATATCCTTCATTGTTATTCAGCAGTGTTTGTTCCGCAGTTAACAAAGTTGCAGAATTGGCAAGCCTGGTGGAAGCGACCAAGTGTTGCCAATGCGATGTCCTCATTCAAGAAGCCTGGTTTCATGAAGACATCGACGACGTTGTGGCAAGTCTCGATGACTACGCAGTTATCGGTCAGATGGGTCCTCTAACGTCAAGAGTCGTAGCAGCGGAGTTGCCACATGGATCCACATCGACTATTGTCCACAACCATTTGTGCTATTCAAGTTCTCAATGACTGATGTTCAGCGTATGATTTCTGAACGCAGCGTTCCTTTTTTTATCGGTCTTGCTTATGTCATTTTGGCGAATGTTTACACTGCTCAGTCATTCACTCAGGTGGAGCTGAATTCATTTATTGACGCTTTTATCGCCAACCTGTCGGATCCTCTGGGACGTGGCCTTCTCATTGTGACTGGCGACTTTAATGTCAGTGGCGCACCGTCCTTCGTCACTTCGCTGTGGTTGACGAACATTGCTGAATTTTCAACGCGGTTGTCACCGTATCTTGGCAGCATCATGACAAACAGGCTAGCGCTGGTGGAGGGAAACAAAAAGCGTCATTTGCAGGCTGTGATCATTGCACCATCAGCTTAACACCTAAAATTTATAGTAAGCCGGGTCAGCTACGTGCCACCTCGAAATCACTCTTCCTTCGTCGTCAGGTGTTCTGCCACTGGGAAGCCGATCATATGTAGGACACTTTCGCTACTACGGACTGGTCAGTCTTTGAAGACTTGCTCTTGAACGATCAGGTAGATACCATCGGGTCATGAATTAACTGTGTACGCAGTCATTTTTTCCGTGTCATGAGGTTCAAGTCCATCAAAATATGTGGCCACACGATCAACAACAAAACTGCATCGGTTTCGTGTAAAGGCTGGCCGCTCGATAAAAATAGCGTTTTGCAACTTTCTCTGTACGCAGATCCTAATGGAGATTCAAATTCTGCATCGATTTCATTTCAGAAATCTTGTAATGTGTAAGAACAAAATGGAGTTGTAATCTGAACAGAACGTTTCAGCTTTGTGGTGTCCATTCTATGCGCAGGTTTTCAGTTTTTATATAAAGTACTGGCGACTGTATCGCAGTTGCATTCCTCGCTGAAAGCAGACCTGTCTTTGTTTTGTTCCTCCATGTTGTATGTCGGCTTCCTTGTCGATGTCTGCCGTGTTTCAGCTTCCACACGAGAAGTTCATTTGCTGGAGCAAATGACTTATGTTAAACTAAATCTTCAATCAGAGACAAATTCCTTTTTTTAATTTCCACAACTGTTGAGGTTATCATTGCCCATAACAGTGTAAAGTCGTTCCTTACCTGCTCCTGCAATTTATCCCTAATTATGCGTCGAAACCGGTACTTCTCTACGCTGTTCAACTGCAATCTCGATATTGCGCTTTATTGTTCGCCTCGATGTGATCATAGGCTGTGTTAGCTAATGAGAACATCGGGAATTTTCAAGTCTTTGAAAGAAACATCATTGATCTGTAGTCAGCAACATGGGCATAGCCCTTGTTTTCATCCTCGACGACTGAATAAGTGATTCTTTCCGTTCGCCAAGGATATGGACAAACTTCAACCTCTGTAGGAATACTGTTCGTTGTGAGTGGAAAACGCGTTAGCCGTTTAGGCCAAAAAAATGTGCACTTTTTTCTATCTTGCAATGCCCAGTTTTTCGTTTTTTGAGCGCAGCGTAAACATTCTTTTCCCGCATTTTTCTCTTTTGGAAAATCCGTTTTGTCCTCTCTTGTATTTCTTTCACCCAGTTAGCTTCGTAGTTGTGGTCTTTTTCATTGTGTCTTTTCTTTCTCCAAAACTGAAGCGATTCTTCTACGCCAGGACCAACGACCTTTGCGTTATTAGCGGGTGTTTTTCTCCTCCAGTTTCTTGTAGAAGGCTTGGGCATTTTGGAGGAGGGTCCAGTTCTGTCGTTCGTACTTGACCTAGCATGTTCATCATTTCGATGGTCAGATAACAGCGCCTCTGCATAGCGTCTTCACATGCAACTCTAATTG